ATTAATGAGTAAATAGTGAGTAGCTGTTTTTTGCCTGGAAAAAGTTTCCCTGAAGCTTTTTCAGACCAACCCCAGTTTGAAATGTTGCTAACATGCTCTGAACTCCAGACGTCTCCATTAAACTCACACGTCTTGTTAACTTTATTCAAGCATTAGTTATGTCCCAGTTTGACGGTAAGTTCCTTAAAGATAGGGTGTAAGGTAGGGCGCCTCGGCAGGTGGGAGCTTGCTCAGGATCATCTTCCAGGTGTACTATGTTGAAGAATAAAACATAACATGTGTTTCTGAAAGAAATAGAAACTTCTAAATGTCCTGTGTGAGTGTGATATACACTAACAATCTATAGACTCAATTATACATCATTAAAAGAAGTTAAGTAAAATAAGTGCTGATTCTCTGACAGAAGTTAGCTCTTAGGTAAATGATATAATAACTAACAGATTTTAAGAAATTTATATTTATCATGAAATAATTATAACAGCAATGTTTTACTATGCAGTGTTTATTCATTTTATATATTGCACACTACCATCTGTCTACAGGATATAAGATTTACAAAGAAAACCATCTTCCTTCAATAGACTTACCTTATCATATCATGGGTAGAGGTGGCAAGGCAGCTGGAAGTGTGGCCTGCTGTGATGTTGACGTGAAAACCAAAGGAAGAATAGCCCATCATAAAATCACAAAAAGTTCTGAGGGGAGTCCCCCGCAGGAACACAACATCTAGACAGTAGGAGGGAAATAGTAAAAGGAGAATGGGAAGTCACTTTAAATGAACTAACTGGCATCTGCCAAACTCTAAAAGTGGAAGGAAGTGTAAGATATTCAAAGGAATATAAAGTAATTCAGTATGGGGGAGAGGAACTCCTTTGTTCTTATTCTTATTCATATCCATCTTTCTTTCTTTCTTTCTCTCTCTCTCACCCTACTTAATTCTCCTAGCCACTTCCTGTTACTAATAAACAGAACTCAGCGAAGAAATACATTTTTTTTTAATTGTCTTCTGAGCATGTTAAAAGGTTTTGGTTTTATCCTGAAGTAAGTAGATGAACTTTGAAATGATAATTAAATACATAACTTGATTGGACTGGTACTTTTAAAGATTTATGCTGGTTGCATAAAAGTGAAAGAATTGAAGGAAAAAAAAAGTGTTGGAGATAGGTAGAGCCATAGTAGAAAGAAATCATAATCATCTAAGACAAAAACATTGGTGACTTTTAGATTAATAACAAAGATGGTAAGAAGCAATGGAGAAATTTGAAAGGTCGTTAAAAGGGAAAAAATGATGAGAGATGGCATTTATTGGTTGTGGAAATGAAGTAAATGAGGAGTCCCTACTAGCAGTGGGTTGCTGATAAGAGGGTGGCTGGAGGCACCACCCCGGACCAAAATCAAGGAATTAGAAGCAGTAGTATCAATATTAAACAAAGACTGTGACTTAAATTTCACACAAGTTGATATTTTGCTGCTAAACAAATTGTCATGTAATCAGTCTAGATACTGGGCAGGACCCGAAAAGAGATTTCTGTTGGAAAAATACAAGTGGGAAAATTGACATAGACATGATGACTATGTGTGTGAAACATGTTCAATGATGCACTTAACCCTTTAGGGAAGAAGCGAGTGTCCAGCAGAAGGAAGAAAACAAGCCAGATACTAATAGGTAGACATGAACAGAGTTTTTTAGGAGATAGAAACAATTTGGTCAATTAATTTGATGAGAAACATGGAAAAAGAGGAAGGTAAAAGATAAACCATAGCTTTGTATTTTGTGTATTTGATACTCATTGCTTCTGTGCTTGAGTATAGTGAATATAAGATAATGATAATTATAGACTGTTTAATGCTTATTGTGGTTTTGCATGTATGTGTTTCATTAATTCGGTTGTCTGACAAACATGTACTAACTCATATAAAGTCATCTCTTCTGGGTCTGCCTGGTGGTGCAAGGGTTAAATGTGAGTACTATCAAGCTATCACCCACACTGTGGGCTGAGTTCAATCCCCAGCCAGGGAGGTGACCCACATGGCACAGCAGACCTCTCCAGCTCCCCCACTACTCCAGTCAGCAGTGTATTTCAGTAGATCCACCAGTCTGCTCTCCACTCTGTCTCTGGTGAATACTTTCACCCTCCATGCCTCTGGCTACACCCTAGTTCTTGCCTGATGCATAAATAAAAATAAATCTTTAGAAAGTATAAAATAAAGTCACCTCTTCTTTTTATAAATTGAAATTGAGTTTTATGTGTTTTCAGAACACTAACTTAATTTTTGTATGAAGAGAATAAGGCCAAGTGAGTTTAATTGTTTAAATTATAGGTAATTTAACATAAAGTGAATGGCATCTAAAATTGTCTTGTTGAAAGTTGGTGAATTCAAATAAAATAAATTGACCGTCATGGCGCTATGATCCACTGAGGGTTCCTGTTACACTGGCTGAATATATAATATCTGTGCTGCTTAGTTCAGTCTGTCTTTGAAATGTATTGCCTGATAGATTCAATTACTAGCATGAACTAGGCTGTATGTTAAACACTGGGAGTTTAAAAATGAATATGACACAATTCCTGCTTTCAAGATATTCAGATTGTCTAAGGCTGTATGTTATTGTTAATATTCAAAATCAATGACAGATTTCCCATGCTGTCTCTTTGGAGAAGTAATTGATTGGTAGTAGTTTAAAAGATTTCTTTTTCTTTGGAGATCAGTTTTGTCATCAAAAGCATAGAAAATATTTGATGTTAGTATATACGTGTAAAAGCAATTTAAATCCTCTTTATGGATTACTAAGTCTAACGATAGATCATACCACTATAATCGAAAACCGTCATTATTAGATATAGTTCATGTTAACCCACAATTTAAAAGCAAACTATTGTAAACAGAAAAGAAAAGTAAACTTATGTTATTTATTTACTATAGCTTGGTTCGGTTTCATTATAATTCAGTTTTTTAGTATAAAAAGCCAAGATTCCATCCTTTATATTATTGTAGTTGTGATTTAATACGCAGTCGCCAAATTGAATTTTCTAACTCCTATCACTATTCAAAGAAAATGTCATTTCATATTAGGAAACCTAATAGCTCCAATGTGTTTTAACATAGTAGGATCCTTGTGTGTCTATTTATAGTTTTCAAAACATTCTCAATTACATTTGTAATTTGATTGCTGAAACATTCCTGTTTGCCATTTTTTTTAAATAATGTATTTTTAAAACCATCTACTTTGACTCTGCCAACTAGATATATTCTGAATACTTTTCTAAGATTCTCAATATAACTTTTATGAACCCATTTCATATTATAAATTATACCATTTATCCTTATTTTACTTTGGCTGTATCTATTATGGTACACAGGGAAGGATTTTACTGTTACATGTCAACATGTGACCGCTTCTTAGGCTTCTGGCTTACAGAGCTTTATGTTTTTAATAAACTCTAGCTCAGAATGATATTATAGACCAATAAGAATCTGTCATGTAATGAGATTCTGCATGTATTCTTTACAATAATCCAGGTAGAGGTTTAAAAGAATACTGGTATTGTGACTATTTACTAGCCCTGTACGGAGAGGATTCACAAATAAAGCAACCATTGCAGAAGCTGTAATGGAATGAAGAGGTATTTGAAATTCTTCAATACTAGGTTTGAATGATTGTTCCGGTTTCATTAGATGGGCAAGATCTTTCAATAATTAGGGGCACTTTATCCACCTGTAAAACCTCATAAGGGAAAAAAAATAAGATAAATAAGGTAATGCAAGCACATCACACTATCGTTTACTATTTAAAGAATGCAAAATCAATAATTAGAAGAGACATGTGAACTTTTCATATCCATCACAGCACGTTATAGAATAACCCAGCCATGGACTCAACATAAATGTCCAAAGACAGGTACGTGGACCAAGAAGATGTGGTTTATATACACAAAGAAATACTACTCAACTATAAAAAATAAACTGCTTTTTGTAATAACATGAGTGAAATGCTAAGAGAAATATCAAGAGGAGAAATATAATATCAGATAGTTTAATTTATATGTGGGGTATAGAGAAGCAAATAGGGTCACATAAAACCAAACTGGAAACCAGCCCTAGAATTGTTATGAGGCTATGAATGTGGGGGGAGCTTGGGACAGAGTAGGGCTGGTGCACAGAGGACTCTGGGGGACTCCCAGTGCCTGAGGGGGGATTGGTGTGACAACATCCACCTGAGGCATGTGATTCTGTACCTTTAATCCATATACAATGTTGTGAACCAATGTTATCTTAGTTGAAAAAATGTGTAGTTCTAGAACAGAAATGCCAAAGATTTGGCCAATAAACCATAAACTCGGGTTAGAAGTTGTGGTAAGATATTGGCTGATGCAAATATTTTTCAAGCCAATATTTCTTTTGACACCATAAGAAGAAAAGCTATTCTTCTCTTCTCTATTGCCAACAAATCATTTGAGAGACCACCCTTGTTCTTCATGACTGATCTCTTTACATCTTCCTTAACCTGTTATTTTAAGTTATTGTTTCGGAAATATCTTCTCTCTTCATTCTTGCAATTTATCATGTTTGGAGGAGGATCCATTCAAAACTTATTTAAATGTGTAGATTATTCTCCTCAATAAAGTTGTGGATACTTGATAGAAAAGCTTGCTTTTATGTAATGAAAAGTGTCACTGTTGGTGAAATTAAGTGGAATTACCCTGATGAGATAGCTACACTTGGATAGCTACACTTGTGATTAATTACCTGCTCAACATTGGGCTGACCTTAACTTTGCTGGTGATTTTCAGGGACAAACACTGGTCTTATGCTCTGCTTGTGCTGACAGTGAATCATTCATTGATGCCACACTGGTTCATGGTACCTCAAGATTTTCCTGTAAACAAAGGAACATGTGGACTCCTGTATGAAAGCTGATCTAATATATATTATTTGCTACTAACATAATAACTGAGAAGATTTTGCTACCATACTTTCTCCTTTTATGTTTTCAACAGGTAACCCTTTATTAACCAGTAAAGTCAACATATTGATTAATGTCCTAGATGTCAATGAATTTCCTCCTGAAATATCTGTGCCATACGAGACAGCAGTGTGTGAAAATGCCAAACCAGGACAGGTATTGTTAATCAAGAATAGAAAAGTCCCACCATATGCTTTTTCTGCTCATTTGTATTGTTTCCTGGCTCATGTTTTGTACAATAAGCCATAGAAGAGAGTAAAAAAGTATAGATTATTTTGTAAGCATGTATGTGGAAATGACACCAGAAGAAATAGTGATGAAGAGTTGGTGCATAGTCCTTGTTTGAGTGCTGCAGGGCTGTGAAGTCTGCTGTGTTACCCACACCTTTGCTTTGGAATTTCTAAGGAGCCTGACTATAAACCCAGGAAGTTCATATATTCTTCCAGTATATTTTTTACTTTTCTCCCATGATTTCACAAAGGAAAGCAGAAAAATTCTTATGCCTAAGAAAAAGTGTAAGACTTTCTTCTTGCTGATCTTCAGTAGGTCCTCTGGGTTATTCAAATGGTATTTTGCATCAATACTGTTCTGGGCGGAGATTCTAGTAGGGATATATCAGATTAGTGAAAGTTACTGTCAAAATTCTAGGTCATATGGGGGTTGGAAAGTAGTCATTTTTAGATAATTTTATAAATTAGTAAATGAATAAATATAATGCAATGCATGATCAATATATAATAAGCACAACATAATACAGTATAAAACAGGGTAATATAATAAGAACCAGGCAGGAGCAAATGATAGTATTTCATGATACTATCTCACAAAATAGTATGATTGATAACAATAGTGTGCACCTAGGTTTCATAGGAAAAGTCCATCAATATGCTTTGATTTCCATTGTATTTTGATCACTTTTAAGTAGCATTAGTGATTAAATAAATATGATGTTTTAAGTCTTACTTAAAAGAACTTACAATTTGAACTGTCTATTGAAAAAGGTAAGTTTTAATTTTTGCAATTTATTTCAATTTTAACATTTTATACTGCTTTGTAGGAAAATTGACCCAAGATTCTAACACTGTGGTGTTTAATAGTTACATAACTATTAAATTAAAATCAAATGAAATTTAAAATCAGTGTTCTTATTCACTCCTGCTCCATTCCAATGCCTGATGGCTACAGTGGTGAGCATCCCATTTTTATGAGTGTAGATATATAATATTTCTATTATTGCAGAAACTTCAGTGCAAATTGTGCTCCTTTAAAGTTTCTTTTAATAATAGGGGAAAAGATGAACTTTATTAAAATTATGACTTATAAGTTATGTTGTACCATAATACATTTGCATTTTTAATTTGAAATAGATCCAGACATGCATTTAAATAAAGCATGTTCACCTCCCTAAATATAGCCATAATTATATGGAGAAGCCAAGTTTCTTCTTTAGTTTCTGTAATAGTGTTTGTAATAATGTCTACATAAATAAATAATCTAATTTGGTTACTTGTAAATTTGTAAGTTTACCAAAATTCCACAACTTACTTTCAATTTTCCAGATTCTTCCATCATGCCCCCCAAATTTACTCTTATTATTTTTTAATAGATTATTAGGGGCATCATTTCTTATCAAGCAGAATCTCACAATGCACTAAATGAATGTTTGTTTGTTTTTTTTATAAAATGAACTGCATTTATGTTTCTCTATTTGTCATTAAATGAAGAGTTTTTAAATATAGGGATAGTTACATTTAGTTTCAAGAGATAGCTTGTTGTTCTTATATCTGTACAAACTGGTAATATTCTTTTTGCATTAGATTTTCCCATGGTATACTGGGCTACATTTGTAGGCCTGAAACATCACAAAACATGGTCCTGAAATGTCTCTTGAGTTTTCAGGGATTATAATATGTGAGAATTTGACCTCAGCCATTCTCCATTCTGCCCCTTAACCTAAGAGATGTGCACAGAAGTCTCTCTCCTGTGGACTATAATTGATGTGTTATGTTCATTTATATATATATGCATTATCTATTAAATTATAGAGAAAATATATATATAAAATCAGTAAAGATGTGTATGTTATTTTTCCCCTTAGGATAACAACTCCCAAGTAACAAATCTAGAAATTACTATCATTTATCAAAATTCTGTCTCCTTATGCTGTTCTGAAAGAATCTTGTATATTCTAAGTTATATTCTGAATATGTTTTCATGTTATAAACCTTTAATTTAGCAAATGATAATGCCACTTTGATAGATGTCACAAGAGGGATAAAAACTGACAGTTCTCAGGTCCTAGATAATATACAGATGTTTTACAGATGTGACATAGCAGATTGTGTAGCTGGGTCTCTGTGAGCAAAGCTGAAAGGCTTGGATCCTGTTTGGTAATTGCCCTTTCCTACAATCCAGCCTTGGAGTTAAAGAATGAAAGTCTCACCCTTGGCAGGTCTAATAGGCAAATAGGCCCGGTGCAACAGATTCACACCGAAACAGGGAAATGAAATTCTCACTAGAATATTAACTTACAAATTACAAATTACTGATACTGAACCAGTCACTGTGGAGTGTGTGTGTGCATCTGTGCACACAGGGACACACTAGATGGGAAGGTAGATAGGACGGTAGACAACTGATTTGTAACTGTGGAATAGAAAGGAAGGAAGGAAGGAAGGAAGGAAGGAAGGAAGGAAGGAAGGAAGGAAGGAA